ACACTAAATTTTTTGTGCATTAGAAGACTCAGAGCTGGCCTTTGCTTCCTGTTTCACATTAACCTTATGTCTTATCTTCCGCGCATCGACACCCTATCTCAGAGAGGTCTGTTTTATGCTACGCGTAACACCTCCCTGGCGATCATGCTGCCTCTTTGACCTATATCTAAACGCTCCTTCCTTTAGCATTCAAATATACCTTCCCATGGAATAATCTTCCATCCAAGCATGGGATATCGCCTAGGTTATCGGCATCAACATCGAAATTGGGTAATTTGGTTACGCCGGAAAGTATAAAGTCGCTATTTATCGTTTCATTCCCCAACACTGAAATTCTGGAATTTGAGAATGGCCCTCCTGAGATTTCATGGTAGATAAAAAGCGTTTCATTTGCTCAAGTGGAAACTTTGACTTAGACTTTTTAGACTTCCTGTTTTATTATTCGAAAGGCAAGGTTCCAAAATCAACAGAATCCAGGCAAACAGTCATGTGACCAAACCGTGCGCATCTAGTAGAAAAGTACGAACGTTCATCCTTCAACCAGTCGTCCTCCATGACAAGATACGGTACTAGTTCTTCGTTCCCCAAGAAAAGCTTTAGGTCAGATCACTTTTCCAAAATGGAAAAAATACCAAAGAAAATGCCAACAGTATGCTTTTGTCGAAACTTCGAAGAATTGCCAATGGGCGGCACACTACTTTAGTCAGGGCGTTAGAAAGATGAATGATGATTGGTTCAAAAGGAGGTAAATAATTAAATTATTGACTGAGAAAAAGGTAATTACGTAAGTGAAAAAGAAAAGTTGAGCACCGGAACACTATGTTAAATGTCCTGAGCTTTCAGACTCGTACAGTAGTCCATCGTTAGAGGAAGTAGCAGCAACCGAAAAAGCAACAGTTATAAGGCATGTAGGCCAATCATCGACCGACAGCGCAAGACTGGAGGTGACTACGCGGCGTTCTGTACACCGGCGCCAGACAGATAAATCAATTGACCGAGTTCTCATCCGAGGCCCAGGCGTCAATCAATTCTCGGCCTGTTTTGTTTCCGGCGTGGGCGACTATTTCGGTGGCTGCGAAATTAAACTCGTGCCCCATTTCATAGGTGTGGGTGGCCACTTGTGATAATGCTGAATAAAAGGAACAGCAGTTGCTCTTTCTGGATGTGCTTGTCAGACGAAACTTTAAAGGTGAACTTGAAACGACGGTTTATAGGAAGGCAACGAACACCAAACGCCTTTTCAGCTTTTACAGCAACCATCCGGTGGCTCACAAACGAAGCTGTGTGAGGACGCTCTCCAATCGGATCCAAACTCATTGCAGCAAACCGGAGGACAGAGTACGTGAGACCCGTTATCTCCGCGACATTAATAAGTCGACGCCTACGTGGTCGCCACCAGAGGACTCGAACATTAACACCACCAACGATATGGCATTCTCTGCCATACATCAAGAGCGGTTCAGCAGCGACCGAGCGCATTGCTGCGAAGGTAGGTGTTGGAATTGCACACCAATCCAAAGCCACTATGCGCAATAGGGTCATGAAAATTAAAGACCGGTTAGAGCCTGAAGAGGACTCTGGAGTAGTGTATCGTATTCCGTGTCAAAATTGTCCTTGCAACTACACAGGGCAGACTGGGCGCATGCTCGGATAGCGCATACACGAACATAAGCTGGCTGTGCAAGGAGGCGACGCATTATCAGAAGTGGCCACCCACACCAATGAAATGGGTCACGAGTTTAACTTCGCAACCACCGAAATAGTCGCCCACGCCACAAACAAAACAGGCCGACAATTGATTGACGCCTGCGCCTCGGATGAGAGCTCGGTCAATCGATTTATCTGTCTGCCGCCGGTGAACAGAACGCCGCGTAGTCACCTCCAGTCTTGCGCTGTCGGTCGATGATTGGCCTGACAGTTCGACCATCGGTTTTGATGATGTCCACCGTGTGTCCCACAGTTGCAGCAGCAATGGGAGCAGGGACGGTGACTTACGCAGGGGTTTATACTGCCAGTAGACCTGCGCAGCATCTACCTACACTCTCTCCTCCTCCCTCGCCCGAGGCCGGTGTCAAGACAGAGTCAAGAAGACTGGAGACGAGGGAGGCCGCAGGTGGATGACTCTGACGTATCCCCACCGTGGTGTTCCACAACACCCCCTGGTCCACACAACAATAACCAGGATTTCAACCAACACAACAGAGATTTGGAGGCTGACACGATCGAAGCCGCACCTGGGCGTGCCGCCAACGCCTGGCTCGGATCCCACACTGTGATGGGAGTGCCATAAAGGCCACATTAAAAAGGAGCCATTGCAGCCTGACTCTCAGACCGCCACCAGTCAAGGAGGAGGTCCAAGTTACCCCGCCAATTGAATTCAATTCAATTCAATTATTTTATTAAAGACCCGTCGGGGTCCCATCAAAGCAAGTAAAAATAAATTTACATGCAAATTTTAGACGATGTAGGCAAAATCTGCACAAAGTGCAATGCATAGTTTTTGAGATTAGAAGT